CTGTATGCAGGAGAAAAGAGAGTTGAGAGTGTAGGTAAATGGAAGGCTGATGTCTCCTTGATACGAATACAGACGTTCAGAAAAGGTGTGTGTGTTTGGGTAGGGGAAGATAATGAGTCCTGATTGAGACATGCTGAGTTTGAGATGCCGGTGGAGCAGTCTGAAATTCCAACAGATATGGTAAGCCCAATAATGTGCTTCTTCCTTGCCTCCTCTAAAGCCCAGCTTGAGTGCCACCCCCTACCCAAGACCCTTCCTGATCCCCCAGCTGCTATTGCTGTCCACTTCTCAAAATCACTTTGTTTACCATCTGTGTATACACTGTTTCTCAGTAGATGAATGGAAGCTTTTGAGGGCAAGGAATGTTCAGTTTTTATCCTTGCATAGCCTATGTCTATCGAACTGCCCTGCACTTAATAAATTCTCAGCCTTGATTTTAAAAACATCTTCCTGCAGGGATCTTTTCTCAATCCCTCTTAATTCTAGTCCCCCTTTTAATTATTTCCCATTTATCCTATATATAGCTTGTTTGTACATATTGTTTGTTTGTGATCTCCCCCATTAGACTGTAAGCCCCCTGAGGGCAAGGGCTGTCTTTTACCTCTTGGTGTAGCCCCAGCACTTAGTACAGTGCCTGACATACAGTAGTGTTTAATAAATGTTTACTGCCACAATGAGAATCACACAATACCTAGCAGTGGCGACACCAAAAGACCTTTAATTTTCCAATGTCTTGGAACATTATGTATCGAAGAGCAAAAGAACCAGGGTTACAGCCAAAAATATCATACCCAGCAAAGCTAAGCAAAATTCTGAATGGAAAAAAATGAACATTTAATGAACTGTCAGACTTGCAGGACTTTGTTAAAAGAAACCTGAACTTAATAGAAGATTTGACATACAAGAGCTAAGAGAAATATAAGGTACATACCAAAGACTAATTACAAGGAACTCAACAAGGACAGGCTGTTTGCCTTTCATGTATATAAAACGTAAAATGCATATCTAAGATTGTTATTAATAACTGGGTAATTCATAAGAAACACTGGGGTAGACCTGACTATGATAAGACTTCAAAAAATAAAGCTGTTTAGGAACAGCTAAAAGGAGTAGTTATCTTACACAAAAGGAGTGCAAAAGGAAGAACACAGGGGAATTAGAAGGGGGAGGAGGCCTGTTAGTTCTGGAAACTGACTTTCATAGGGAATGGGTTCAAGAGGGAACAATATATATATATCTAGAAGAGTATAAAAGTCTTCTGAATTGAGAAAGAAATAAAACGCTAAGGGGATAGGGAGGGGGGAGAGGATAAGGGAGGGATCTCTAGAGCGGAGGATGAGGGAATAGGTTAAGGGGAATATAGAAGGGTGTTTAGATTAAAGGGAATGGGAGGATAAGGGAGGGATCTCTAGAGGGGAGGGTAAGGAAATAAGTTAAAGTGGGGTATAGAAGGGTGTTTAGATTTATGGGAATGAGAAGATAAGGGAGGGATGGGGGGAGTAGGGATAGGTTAAGTAATAGGAGGGCAAGGTAGTGGATAGAAGTGAAGTAGAAGAGTTGGGAGGGATGGGAAATAAGAGACGTACAAACACACAGCAAAGATCAGGAGTAGAATATGTGTTTATATATGGATGTATGTGTACATATGCATATGTATGTGTGTACATCTATATATAAACATATCTACGCTTAACTGTAACCTTGGGGGGGGTAGGGAAGGAAAGGGGGAAAAAAGAACAAAGTGAAAAGTACACAGCAGAGAACAAAAGAAAACCTACAAGGAGGCAAAGAAAAGACGGATAGTTTTCAACACAATGCATGGTATTTATTATATAGGCTTTCTTGAAATGGAAATTTATTGCTATATGTTTCGAATCCTCTCTTATGTTCTGCTGTGCACATGACATGCTTTTTTTCTTTTTTTCTTTTGTATTTAAGTTTCAATATTTAAGTTTATAATATGTTTCTTTTTCTTTTCTTTATTGTGTATTTGTTTTAATATTTAAGTCTAAAATGTTTTTAAAAATTGTAAAAATAAATAAATTTTTACTGACCAAAATTTTTGTCGAAATGAATTAAAGGTCTAGCCAGGAAAGTCAATGCCACAGCTTTCCATGCCCTTCTCCCCCAGACTAAAAATCTGATTATTCCTAATGCCACTCAGAAGAATATTAGTTGTGTCAGAATATCAGTTAAAAGGAGGTAAAATTGCTGGGCAAGAGGTATTTCACTTTAAAAGTGCCAAGATGTGGATTTACCATCACTACTCAGGTGCTAAATGGGGATCCATCTCCTAGATTTCAATGAGTTCCTTTTGACAATTCAAGAACTAAATCCACTTAGATATACTACAAGACAAACCTTTTACTGAGTTCTTCCTTTCTCTCTACTCAGTTAATGGTGTTACTGCCAAATACTTTTTATTTAAAAAAAAAAAGTCATTTACTGATGCTGAGTGAAGTGAGCACAACCAGGAGAACGTTTTAACAGCCACATTGTGCAATGACTGACTTTGATAGACTTAGCTCTTCTCAGCAATGCAAGGATCTAAGACATCTCCAAAAGTCTCATGATGGAAAATGCTATCCACATCCAGAGAAAGAACTATGGAGTTGGAATGCAGATGGAAGTATGCTATTTGCTCTTTTTTTTTTCTGCTGTTTTGTTTTGTTTCCTCTTTCTTGTGGTTCCTCCTATTGGTTCTAATTCTTCTTTACAACATGACTAATGTGAAAATATGTTTAATAGGAATGTATATGTAGAGCCTGTATCAGACTGCGTGCCATCTTCGGAAGGAGGTGGGGAGGGAAGGGGAGAAAATTTAAAACTCAAAAGCTTATGGAAGTGAATGTTTAAAACTAGAAACAATTAAATTAATTTTTTAAAAAAGTAATTTAGATCATCATTTTAAAAGAAAGCCCTTGTCAATGTTTTTTTAAAAGTACATAATAATGTCAAATTTACAGAGGAGGAAGTCTCCCTCTTGAGCGTGCAACAGTAGGTAAATGACCAGGCAAGAGTCTCTATTCTCCACTTTAATTTTAAAAACAAGAATTCCCAAAAAATAGGAAGCAGAGGCTCGAAGCTCCAGAGCTGGGAAGCATCTCAGAGGCCATCTAGCCCATCCCCCTGAGGCTCAGGGAAGTTCACTTGGGTAAAAGCAAGCAACAGAGGGGAGATTAGAACCCAGGTCTTTCAATTTCTGAGCCAGTTCTCTTTCTACTATTAGAGATGTGTCCATTGTATGGCCCATGGTAAGGGTTAACTAAAGAAATTTTCATATTCTCTCTTAAAGGAAGATGTTACTACTCTCATTTGCTGAACTAAGAAACTAAAATTGAGAGGTAAAGGCAGTGTTCCGTAGGCTCTCCAAACACTAAAGCCAGAAAATTTTTACCAAAGTCCAGAAAACTAGTAGTCTTCTGTTACCTGAAAATTCAGGATGCTCTCATGTGAAGTCCCCATGTGCCCTTAATCTCTCTCCTTCTTTCCTGTCCCAGTGTCTCCCTAGTTTCGCTCTCAAAGACTGTGACTAATAATAAATTATAATACACTTTTCCAGGGATGGATGCCAGTTCATAAATTAGGGGGTAGGAAATACCAGGCCAAATGACTTATCAAAAGCCACAGAGGGTATCAGCATTCAATCTGGATTTAGAACTCTACTTTTCATCTACACCACCTGAGCTCAGAGCAGGAGACTGACCATTAAGGTTTGAATGGGACATTACTCTGCTTTGCCAGCATTTTTGAAAACCCACATTCAATCTCGTACATGAAAGAGAAGTAAGGATTTGAAAATGTTTAAACACCACTGCACTTAATTCCAAATGATGTTGTGAATGATGAATGGTGCATTAGTAACTTCTCATACCACTTTCCTAGCTTTGTGAAGAGTAAAGCTTCCATCAAAGATCATAATCTTTTCCCCAAGAGAAAAAGATACGATGTCTGTAATTGGAGCCTAAATGGTCAGGTTCCCTTTCTTTAAACACTCATGCACATCAAAAAAAAAAAAAAATCACTGAAAACATATTACTCAAAAGTTTTCACCTTTGTGTCATTTTTCTCAATTTTAAAGTTTCCTTTGACTTAACCTACCTAAAACTTATATGAAACTTATATAAGCTAGTCTGTGGTCAAAAAGAAAAAAAAGCAAAATTTTGTTTCTATTGTCGATAATTTATACCAAGAAAAGGCAATACAAGAATTCTGTATGTTCATGACAAAATCAATCTGTGTTATGTCTTAACATTTATAATATCTTTCACGTTCACTGTCTCAATAAACTAATACAGTTTGGGGAAACGTTATAAATGTTTACTACCATAATAGTTAATAATAAAGTGTGGTGCAAGGCACTTTGCAATTAACGACAGTAACAAAAGACTTTTAAGACTGATTCATACCCTTTCTTCTTCACAAAAAAAAAATTGAGAAATAGCATTGTAAAGTATAAGATGTTAAAACCCTACAGCTTCTCCAACTCCACATTTATACACAGAATGAGGTCTTATAGTTTATGTCAAATGTGACAATATAATTTTCCAGAACCAATTTCAACCCCAAATTACTGATAACCATTTCCACTTCTGTGTGGCATTCACTAGAGGTCATTCTCCTGAAGCTGTGATGGCTAGAAAAGGGTCAATGGAGGGCAAACAAGAATGACATTCCCTTCTCCACCCGGCCGAGATGAAAAGGCTCTCTGTACTCCTTTTTCTTCCCAATGAGGGGAGGGTGCCTTGGGGGTAGGCGGTGGCAGTGAAAAGAGCTCAAGCTTGAACTTTTTTCTCCCCAATAAAAGTGCTATGCTTACATGTCTCACATAATATATTCCATGAATTCTCACATTTGGTGATGACAAGCCCAAGGGAAGAAAATATTCCTGATTAACTGAATCTGCATAGCCCCTTCCTTACTGGGCAGGTTATGCTCACTGATACTTATTCACATCAATCAAGAGAAGCCTTCTTTATCTCTAAACCTTCAATTCCTACCTCTTCTCTGGCTGAACTTGAGCTTTTGTTCTTTGCGTGTGTGTGGCTGCTGCCGCTGCACCAGACTGACACCTCCACAGTCCATGGATTGTCCCCTGACTGCTGCCCCTGCTGCTTTTCACCACTGCAATAAAATTAAAATTTTATTTTATTATTTAGTGTGAAATCTGGTTGGAAAGTAATTGCTTTGAAAAGGCGTACTAAGAGCATAGTTCCCGGATTTATATAAATGCGGAGATTTGGGGAATCTGAGTTCACTTTCTCACTGTCTTTTGCAGGAAACAAAAGGATTTAAAAAGGCATTCAGAACTAGAATATCATTTATTTCAGTTAGTTATCCCATTTCTGCCTGTCTGTCAGCCTATGAAAATAAAATAATAGATCTGGTCAACCAGATTGAACTACTGCTGAAGTGCCTTGTATACTTAATGTTTTTCTATCACTAAATCTCCAAAGAGTGTTACCCGCTTGGGATTTATAATGAAGTCAAAGTTTAAGTCCTACAGCAGGCTCATGGTATGTGTGACGTGCCATGAGGCTGACTCGTTCCCACGGCCTGTTTCTACCAGCCTTCAAGCTGATGGAATGAAAGTTGGCTCAATCCCTTCCATTCTAACCTTTCCCTGAGAATCAGTGTCGCTAACTGATCAGCACCCTCGAACACTTTGAGTGCATTAGAAGAAAAGCGGTTGGGGGCAGCTAGGTGGTACGTGGATAGAACACTGGCCCTGAAGTCAGAAGCACCTGAGTTCAAATCCGGCCTCAGACACTTGACACTTAACTAGCTGTGTGACCCTGGGCAAGTCACTTAACCCTACTGCCTAGTCGGGGAAAAAAAAAAAAAGGACTTGGGTTAAAATCTCTCTTTTTTTCCCCCTTTTTAGGCAACTGAGGTTAAGCAACTAAGCTAGTAAGTGTCAAGTGTCTGGTCTGACACTGGATTTGACTCAGGTCCTCCTGACTTCAGGTGCTCTATCCACTGCGCCACCTAGCTGCCCCCAACTTGGGTTAAAATCTCACCTCAAACATTTACTAGTGTGTGATGCTCAGTAAACTACCCAATGTCTCTGTGCCTCAGTTTCCTCATCTGTAAAACGAAGGGATTGGACTCAATAAGCCATAAGATCCCTTCCTCTATTAAACACCTACTACGCGGTAGGCACTGTGATTGGTTTTAGGGAATACAAAAAAGAGTCCTGATCTAAAAGAGCATGTCATGCAGGGGGCTAAAACATGCGCACAAATGAGTATAAAATACTCAAATGGATCTATGATATTATTTACTTGGAAGCTCCCTCCCTCCAATGATGCAGATCACACAGCGTCCATACCTGTCCATCCTGTGTAACTCTTATCCACACGCTCTCAGACATTCTGCATAACACATGCACTCAGTTTGCCCAAGGTCATCCTCACTTTCCCCTAATGTGACAAGGGCACCAGTGGAGTCCTCTGCTGTCCACCCTCTCCATGTGTCGCCAGGTGTGACCAGTCCATATTCTCTTCCTATTACAGAATTCCTCGCAAACATCTTTCCTCCTGTTCTGCTTTACTGTTTACATGCTCAGCCTGCTCAAATATTTCTCTACGTGCCTAATATTCTCTAGAATCGGGGCTTCTTAAACTTTTTCCATTCATAACCCCTTAAGCACTTCTTAAACTGTGGGTCTTCCAGGACAAGTGTGTTCCATGACTCATCACCATATAGTAACACCAGGAAAATGGCTGTATTAAAATGATGGGCCTTTCCCTTTATAGGAAGCAGGAAAAAATGCTTACAATTTCTCAAAAGCAATCCAATTGGGTTTTTCCCTCCTGTTCAACTCCAGATTCAACCAAGAGTCCATCTGTCCAATCTGTCTCTGATAAACGTATTGATGGCCAAAGGTGTCTAACCAAAGGCATTTTGAAATCCGGGCAACAGACATTTTTTGTGTACTTGGTCTTTCCCATGTGGGAAGATAATAGTGCTCTCAAAAGAAATAGAAAAGTGGGCGGGCCAAGTTTAGGGAAGAAAATGGCTGTTTTTGGATGTTTTATATTTGAGATCTCAATGGGAAATTCAGGAGGAGATATCTAGGAGGAAGCTGATGATATTCAAGAGAGAAAATTGGACACATAGATTTGGGAGTCGTCTACATAGAGGTGATACTTTAACCCATGGGAGCAGATGAGATCAGGGATCTCCAAGGAACAAAGTATAGTAAAGGAGAGAAAAGGCCTCAGGATAGAATAGCGGGGGGTCACCCACAACACAAGAGCAGCTGGTAAATAATACTGAAAATATCAAGAAGGGGCAATCAGAGAGGTTAAAGGATAGTGTCACAGAAATCAAGGGAACAGAGAACATGTAAGGGGAGAAGATGATCAACAAAATGCAGGGAGGTAAAGGAGGATAAGAACTGATAAAAGACCATCCATTCAATTCTGCAGTTTAGGGATGACTGGTAATTCAATTAGATACAACAAACATTTATTAATCACTTATTGTGTACAAGACACTGAGCTGTTATTAACTTCAGAACACAGATGAGGAAACTGAGGTTCAGAGAGATTCAAACTCATTTCTTGCTGTCTCCCCAACAGAATCGCTATTCATTGCATCATGCTGCCTCTCAACTGGGGTGTAACAGGCACTTAATGTTTCTAGGCTGAAAAAAGCAGTTATTCAGTGGTGGAAGGGCACTTGGTAACTCAAACAGGTGCCTCTAGGAATCTTCCCAGCTTCTGTAACCAACCAGTAACACTACAACCCATAAAATGTGGACGCTTCCAAGCCTGACACACTGCACACACGGCTGTCAGGAGAAATCTTGGCTACACCCAAGATAAGTGAGGATGGGTCTCTATAAAATGACTCTAAAATCCCTTTGTCCCAACCAGGGCTTCCAAACTTATCTTATGCAAGCATAACAAACACTGTTTCATAGAACTTACTTCCATTCTCCCAAAACAAGGACCTCTCCCCTCCTGCTCACCCTCCAACAGCACAGCACCCTAAGACAGAGAGCTGGAAGGAACCTCCAAAACCACCTAGTGCCAGGGATGGGGAAGTGGCCTCAAGGTCACATGTAGCCCTCTGGGCCCTCAAGTGTTCTGTGAAGTTTGGATTCAGTCAAAGGGCTGCACTTGAGGACCTAGAGGGCCATGTGTGGCCTCAAGGCCGCAGATTCCCCACCCCTGAGTCCGAGAGTAACCCTCTCATTGTACGGATGAGGAAAATGAGATCCAGGAAAGTTATGTGAATAGTTTACACAGGATTTAAGAGTCAGGGGTGGGATGTGAACCAATCTGTAGTCTGGAGTCAGTACCCTGATCACACTACTTGCATTTTTCTCTCCTCCTCCTCCTCCTTCTCCCAACAAGGTTGAAGGTCACAACTCTTTAAGCAGAGCCTCAATAAACTCCAGTTTATATATATTTATATATAATGATAGAATATAAATATTATAAAATTAATATAATACAATCCTCTGTTTGAACTTAAATTCTTTCACACCGGGACACTTCCAACCATTCTGGTTTCTGCTTGTTTTGTTTTCTTATACACTCTACCCCCCTCCCCACACTTTAAAATCCCTGTCTACGCGCTGTGCTCCTCCTACAACACTCCCGTCTCCCACCTCCCTGCCTTTGCCCCTGCTGTGCCCCCGGCACGGAATGCTCTTCCCCTTCACCGCCCTCTCTGGGATTTCGCGGTCCTCCTTAATGGCTCCGATCCAACTGCACTTCCAGGAGGAGGCTTGTCTTGACCCTCCCTTCACTTAGTGCCTGCCCGTCTCGGATGACTCTTCATCTACTCTGTATCTCACATCTCTGTACAAGTTGTTCTTCATCGTTAGTCTGTAAGCTCCAGGAGGGCAGGCACCCAGTTTTTGCCCTTCTCCGTCTCCGAAATGCAAAGCCCTGCAGTACGCGCTTAATCAATGCTTGTCGGCTGGGGAAGAGTTAACTCTAACACCTACTTTGGTTTCCCCCAAGTCGGCCCCACGATGACAGCGCTGCCTAGCAGGATAGCGGCACTCCCCTCATTGTACAGAAGGGGAAACCAAGGCCCTGAAAGAGTGAATACCCTGCCCAGGATGTCACAAGGATTAAGTGACAGCGGCAGAATTCGAACCCAGGACCTGGGACTCCACAGCCGGCCCTCGCTGCCCCGCGGGCTCTGCTGTCTGCAATCGCGGGTGGGAGCCCCTGAAGCTGGGCCATCCCCCTGTCCCCGGAACCCCCGCCCCCAAGCGGGGCCGTGGAGCCCAAGAGCAGCCCGCGGCCCCCTTCCTGCTATCGCGATCCTCGCGGCCCGCAGCGACAGCCAAGACCGCGCGACGAGCCCGAGGCGCACTTACAAGGACCCAGGAGGCGCGCGGCGGCAGCCATGTTGGCAGCTTTCAGGCTGCTCCGCAGAGGCCGCGGCGCCGCTCCCCGGCGGCTCCTGCGCACGCGCGCCTGCTCCTCCCCACGGCGCGAGGCCCGGGCTCTGGCTCGCTCGGCTCGGCTCCCCGCTGGGCTGCGAGCTCGGCCCCCAGCACCGCAGCGACGGCGCCTAGCGCTCTGCTCCGCTGCAGGACCTCGGAGGGAACTGCACCAGATCTGCCCAGGGTCCGGGGGCGGGGAGGTGCTGAAGGCAGCAGGGAGGGGCTGGCTCTAAGACCCACCCCTTCTCGCCTCTGCCCATTGGCGTATCAAGTTGTTGGCTTATATAAAGATGTAGACATACTTTACTATTCCATAAAACTTCCAGTTATAGATTGAGCTGGAAAGGACCTCAGAGGCTATAATAATAATAATAATAATAATAATAATAATAATAACATTTACATACCGCTTACTATGCGCTGCTTTACAATCATTATCTTATTTGATCCTCACAATAACCCTGTCATTATTATCTCCATTGTCTAGATGAGGAAACTGAGGCAAACAGAGGTTAAATGACTTGCCCAGGGTTATCCAGCTAAAAAATCTCACAACAACCCTGGGAGGTAGATGCTGTTATTATATATATTAAGAAATTGCCCAGGGCCACACAGCTAGTAAGTGTCTGAGGCCAGATTTAAACTCAGGTTCCTTCTGACTCTCCCACCTAGCTGCCCCACATATGTGTGTATGTATGTATATGCATATATATGCACGTATATGTGCAGATATATACACACATGAATATACACATAGTTTGTACATAATTGTTTTGTTTGAATGCTGTCTCCCTTGTTAGAGTGTAAAATCCTTGAGGGCAGTGGCTGTTTTTGCTTTTCTTTGTATCCCTAGTGCCCAGCACAGTACTTAATAATTGCTTGTTGTTATACTGTTTCCTAGCCTGGCATTCAATTTCCCAGCCCTGGGCCTTTCTTTCCCCAGGCCTGAAATGCCTTCTCTCTTTACCACCACCTCCTATAATCAATGTGACTGCCCTCCTCTCCAAAATCACCTTGTGTCCATTTTGCACAAATTGTGAACCTACCTATAAGTGTATGTTTTGAATTAAAAGCATTTATTAAATGTTTACAATGTGTCAAAAACTGTGCTAAGCACTCAGGATTAAAAATACAAAAGTGAGGTAGCCCCTGCTCTCAAAGAGCTCACTTTGGTGGGGCAGACAAAGTATGTAGGGGAGCAGTGGCTGGAGAAGGGGCCTTTGGTCTGTAAAGCAGCAAAGATGGTGCACAGAACACTGGGGCAGCCAACTGGCATATGCTTTCCAGAGGCCATGACAGTGTGATTTTGATTACAGATCTCAGAGCAGGTGGTGGAAGAGGAGAGTACACGGACATGATCTCAAGGAATAGCTGGGCAGGTGGTTTAGTTCCTTCCAGGCCTGGTCTCTGGAGGACTCGTTTGGAGGGCGGCATCACAGAGACAGGCTCCCGGGCAGAAAATATCTAGGTAAAGAGACAGCTTAGAATGTAAGCTTCTAAAGGGCAGGGGATGTTTCACTTTATATCCTTAGTGCCTGGCATGTAGTAGGTTCTTAATAAAAGCTTGTTGGTTGCCCAGTGTCCTTATCTATTCTGTATTAAAATATATGTATTTTTAATTATATTTTTAAATACATATAAATATATATAAAATAAATATATATGTATATATACATATATATGTATAATCTAAGGTTGTATGTAACCTCCTTGAGATCAGAAACAATTTTTATCATTATCTTTGTATACTCAGTAAGTAGTAAGAATAGTGCCCTGTGTATAGTAGTTACTTATAAATCGGCAACTTGAATTGTCTGAGCTCAGAGGAGGGAGGCTTATCACCAGGATGGCCACAACATCCCTTGAAATTTTTTTTAAAAAATTGTTTTTGGTTTTGTACCTGAGTAGTTGAGGTGCTGATCAAATTATTCAGTTTCCTAAAAATGATTATTTCCGTTGCAGTGGGAGCCCCAATTAAAAGGGCCAGTCTTCATCATTATCTAAAGGTAAAACCAAATGGGAATTTGATAGAATTGTTGCTCTGAGAAATGGAGAATGATGGTTTTTTTTTAAATTCCGTTTTCCTATATTTCATCACCAAGTCTATATTTGTTAGCTAAGATTCTACTCATTCTTTATTGCCCTTTCAAAGAGTTTTTCTAGTATGAAGGATGTGCTTTCCTGCCAAAAAAAAACCCTGAATCTTTTACCTATTTTTAAATTCAGCACCAGAAGAAGCAGTATGTCTAAGGTTGGAAAATTAGAAAGTAAGAGGAAATCAAGAGTATGAATTCCCTCTTCACTTAGCCACATCTGGAATACCCTGGATAAGTCAAGTAACCCTATCTCTGGCCACATTCCACTTTCTGCCAAATGAAGATAATGCTTATCTATTGTCTATCTACCACACAGACTCCAAAATGATTGGTGAGTAGGCAAAAATTGGGCAAAATTTCATAGAAACTCAATGAGTAGCTCGTGGTTTGCTTGCATTTTAGGGTTTTTTTAATCAGACTCATGATGGGATAAAGGTTTGTAAATATTTTATACTTTTAGGGGAAAGAAATCCAGTACATTTTTAGGGGAAACTCATAAAAAATTACTTGTATTGATCTTTTTTAAAAATAAATCACTTTCATATTCTTTTAATGAATATCAAAACCATTTCATTGTTAAATATATTCATTTAGCACCTATATTTGTAAATTGTATTGCCCTTTTTGTGGATTTTTGTTGATATGCTTTCATTTTTATTAATTTTAAATCCAGTTGTCCATCTTTTACTCAATAAGGATTTAAGTGCCTACTAGGTGCTGGGGATACAAGCACAAAAACAAACAAACAAAAAAAAATCCAAACACTTCCTGCCTTTGAAGTCATTCTACTGGAGGACAAAGAGTACAGAAATAAGCAATACAAATCTTACATAAAGAAAATGCAATGGGAAGAGAAAGTACTACCAAGCAGCTCAGAAAAGATGGCTTCCTGTAGAAGGTGGAGGTAAAGAAGAATATTCCATCCCTCCCAGTCTCCCTGTCTCCCAGGCATCCAAACGTCTGGAGATAGGGTGGGGCAGCAAATAGGCTGGTCTGGCTGGAATGTCAGGATAGGTTAGAACCAGGCTGTGGTTCCAAAAGGGATCTTGTAAACGTTTTACACTAGCAGTCTTGGGACACTAAAGCTTTTCAGGTAGCAGAGTGACATTGTAAGACCTAGGCTCAAGGAATATTAACTTAACAAGTGCGTAGAAGATAGAGTCATGTTTCCAGTGATCAAGATGTACAAAACTGATACATTCGTACTGAGACGTGACATGTGAAAATGAATTCACTACTCTTCACCTAGAAGGACTATCTCTATTATCATAGAAACTTGTTTGATGTTACTAGAAGGTAGTTTGGTTCGGAGCCAGAAGAGACCTCTCTGGGGGACAATCCGAACCATAAGCAAGTCACTTAACCCAAGTCTGGTTAAAAGGGGTAGGGGAATGGTAATGACAATACCTACAGTACCTCACAGCATTGTTGTAAAAATTACGTGAGATCATGGATGCTTTGCAACTCCCTGCATATTTTAATTAGCTCATCAGGCTACTTAAGTTGTTGTTCAGTTGTATCCAACTCTTCGTGACCCCATTTGGGGTTTTCTTGGCAAAGATACTGTAGTAATTTGCCATGTCTTTCTCTAGCTCATTTCACAGATGAGGAAACTGAGGCAGACGGAGGTAAGTGGCTTGCCCAGGGTCACACAGCTAGGAAGTATCTGAGGCCAGATTTGAACTCAGGTCTTCCTGACTCCAGGCCAGACACTCTATCCACTGCACTCCTTTACGCTTGACTTGGGCAAAATCTGAATGCAACCTATTATCACTGTTATTTTTCAAAATATACCTACATGCATATTTTTTCTGACATGTCTCATCTTATGGGTACAGACAAATACAGGAAGATCACACCACCATAAGGGCTAGTCAGTCAATAAGATAAACCTAATTATTACTGTGCCAGACACTGTGCTAAGTGCTGGATCAGCTTTGTAATATATAACTTTCCATTCCTAAAATTAAGATCAGTGTCTTTAGAAAACTAACCATGCTTTATACTCTATAAATGCTGGATAATGATGACATTAAGATTAGCAGAAAGAATGATGAAAAGCTAAAAAAAAATTTTCTGAAATGAATAGATTCATAGATTTGGACCTAGAATGGACCTTAGAGATGAGAGTGATCGCTTTCATTTTACAGATAAGTTAACTGAAGCCCAGGTAACTAGGGGGTGCCATAGTGTAAAGAGTGCCTGGCCTCTAGTCAGCAAGACTCATATTCCTGAGGTCAAACTTGGCCTCAGACACTTACTAGCTGTGTGACCCTGGGCAAGTCATCTAACTCTATTTACCTCAGTTTCCTCATCTGTAAAATGAGCTGGAGAAAGAAAGGGCAAACTACTCCAGTATCACTGCCAAGGAAATCCCAAATGAGGCAGACAGAACAATAGCAAACTGTAGCCCATAGAGTTTAAATGGCTTGTCCAATGTCAAACAGTCAGCAAGCAGACAGAATATGAACTCAGGTCCTCTGATTCCAGCACTACACCACACTGCTGCATTATCTCCCAAAGAGATAATTCCAGGGAAAATAAACTGGAAAGTACATTGAGTTACTGGGTAAATTAAAAAAAAAAAACCAACCCCTTATAGAGTAGATAATTGTTTTACTTCTATTTTCCACATTTACCAAGAAATACTTGTGCAGAAACATTCACTTTCTACACAGAAATGTATATGAATGAAAGAAGCCCTGGATGGCCCCAGATAAGCAGCCCAGCAGAGCAAGAGGATTTATCTGAGGCTGGGTGACTTAATTAGTGGATAAAGCACTCGCCTGTCACAGATAGGACCCAGTGTGTGAGTTTAGCTCGAAGACCTAAATAAAATGAATTTGTTGGTTTCAGCTCAGTGCTTTGGGAGAGGGGGAGAAACCTAAATCATTATTTGTCATGATTG